TTTAAGATTTATTTATTTATGCATAAAGGAATTGGTGTAGAGGCCAGAGGTGTGGGGGTGAGAGGGACTCACTAGAGACAGAGTGAGGAGCAGAACAGGCAGATTGATTGAGATACACTGCTGAGGGGAGCAGCAGATGAGACAGGAAAGGTCTGCTGTGCCATGTGGTTCAGCTCCCTGGCCAAGGATGGATCTCATGCTGCCTCTACAGATGATAGTTTAAGAGCATTGTCTTTAACCCCTGCACCACCAGGGAAACCCTCATTTATTTATCTATCTATCTCTCTATCTCTTTATTTATTTGTATGTACGTACGCACACACACACTTACATACATACATACAGAACTGGGGTACAGGCCAGAGGTGCAGGGACAGTGAAAGTCTACATCAGAGACAGAGTGGGGAGCAGAACAGGCCGACTGAGGAGGGGAGCAGCGCGCGGTAGAGGTCTGCCGCCATGTGGAATCACCTCCCGGGGCGGGGATCAAACTCATGCTGAAGTGCCTTTAGCTTCTTAGTGCTGTGCTTTAACTGGCTACACCACCAGGGAGGCTCCCTCCCTTATTTTTAATATAGAAAAATACCTTGGTGAAGTCTTGGGGTTTTTGAAATCTTAAATCTAGAATCCAGACCTGGCTGGATCTCCAAGAGCACAAATTGGAAAAACCACCCAAGAAAATTTTTTTATGGGCTTAATCAACTCTTAGTCATCCTAGACATCCACTGGCAATAATTGGTGTGCTATTTTCTTCAGTCTCTGCTTTACATTACTTTCAGAACCTTCTATTGTTTCTTGACTTGACTCTGCAACTCAACTAAAGAAGAATTCTTGAAAAAGATTGTGACCTTACCAGTGGCCATTTTTGTATCAACTTCAGACTCTTGGGTCCAGAACTTTCTACATGACAGGTAGATGTCTGTCAAAGCAGAAGCTGCTTCTAGGTCTTCTTCCTTCTTTATACCTTAATTTTCACTTCAACAACTCCTTGAAACTTACACATCACAGAGGCCAGAAAACAAGGTCGCTTGGGTATGAAGGAACCTAGGCCAATTCCGTGAGTCTAATGAGCAAATTATCCCATGTTGAAATGCTACCCACATGAAAGTTTCGCCATTTTCAAATAAACTTGTTTTGGCTCTTGAAGGAGTCCACGTCAGCTTGGCTCCGACCGTGATGTGAATGTTTAAGAGACTCCAGCTAACTACTGATCTCAAGAGAACCCCAGGCCTTGAAAAAAACATTTGAACATATGCACGCTCTTTGAGATGTGTTGCTGGGTAGAACAATGAATGTGAATCATAAGCAGCTACTGTGGTGAGAACATAAAAAAACACCTCTGAAGAATGTGGCTGAACGAGTAGCATGGTAGAGAAACCCAGATCTCTAAGGATAATAATGGTGTTATTGTTCTTTGTTAACGATGCACTAATATGCATTATTCATATGGAAGGCAGAAATGGAAGGGGGACAAGGGTAAACCTAAGTATCACATCTCAAAGCACATCTGTATTTCATCTTTATTTGGGTGGTTACCCTGTAATTACAGCTACAAAATCACCGTTTTGAAAGGTATTTATTAAGTACCTCCAGCGAAGCATTGGGCTGGATTATGTAGAAGATCCCACACCATGGACAACAACTAGTTCTCTAGTAATAAAACAGTGGAGTGTCATCCTTCCACCCAGCGATGGAAGCCTGCCAGAATATGAAGTATTATTAGATTGCGATTGAAGCATTAAGGAAGTCATCTATTCACATTAAATAGCAAGTGGGCTAGCAACAAGTCATTATTCATCATGACTAGAACTGAACTTTTGCCAAATAGATGCCAGACAGAAAAGCCATTTAATCCATTGACATTGCCTGGTTTGCTGAAGAAAATCTTTTTAAACCAAATGGAAAAATCATAATACAGTCAATAAATGAGCTATTTTGATCGCTGGAAGAGTTGAGAGTTAATACTTCCTTCAGTGACTCCCTGTCAGAGAAGAAGCCGGTGTTCAGTCTAAACTAATGCAATACATTATTTGAATTTTGCCACAGTAACTTTAATAGTATACTCTAAAAACTTCATTGTTACATTTATTCTTGATCCGTTCTCATGGATTAATTGTCTGTGATCCAGATGTGGCCTAGATGATAATTCCATATTTGCTTACCTGCCTGAGCTCAGTCAAGACAATTTGGGGTGGTTTTAGCCTATATGCCATATGCAACTGCATAATCCTGAACTGTCATTGTCATCGGCACCCCCTTCCCCACTCCCTTTGTGTAGAACATGGAAATTGGGCTCCAGCTCTAAGGCTCCTTACAATTCTAGAATTCTGTGTCTATATTGACTGACATGGAAATGAGGCTTTGTAAGGCCATCTGGAGAGAATATGAGCAACAAGAGAACGGTCTTTGCAGGAAGTTAGTGCATTAGGATTGTTTGTCAAGAACTGAAGAAATTAGAGGGGGTAAATACTGAGGGAAGTTTTTGATTCTTGTTTCTTTGAGGTGTATCATTTATTCCTAATGGCAACAATAAGATCATATGAAGATGTCCATTGAACTTGGCTCATGATTGCAACTGGTCAATGTAACTGACCAAATGAGCAAGAGAAAGGGTGAAAACTAACTATAAGGGAAATTTTCAATTATATATAGATATATCTATCTAGGTAGATAGATATCTATATCTAGATAGATATCTATATCAGTCTATCTATCTATATCTATCTATCTCTATAAAATATGTGAGTGTGTATTTTACTCATTCTCCAGGCAGTGGATGAGTGTTCCATGTCCAGGAGGTAGGATGGTTGAAAGGTGAAGATACCTTGTGTACCACAAGGTGAGCACAGTAACCCTGCAATTCAGTAGGAGGGATAAAGAGTTCCTATAAGCTATAAGGCGACATGTGTAACATGTCACATGTAGACCTCCTGCCCTGAAAGTGTAGCACAGTGGAGCAGGGAGAGCTTGTAATCCGTATCCTTCACCAAAAAATGAAGACAGTGCTTACAATTAGGAGGATTAAATGATGTAGCTTTTTAGCACTATGTCAACCTAGAGGAATCCCTTTCTAAGCGTTACGACTGGTTATTGTCACCTTTGTAATTTAGAAAGTCTATGTATTGTTTTTTTATTTAACTTGCTAGAATTTTGCTTCTCCTTAGTAAAAACTTCTACAGTGTCAATGAAGACAGTGATTAAACATTGCCATGAAACTGGAGACTTTCCCACTTCTGTTTGAAATATAGAAATAGCCTTTTCTAGAGGAGGAAATCAGAGTATTTTGTTTTTTAGTTATTAACATGTCACAGAGGAAATTTTCATTTATACTCTGTGCTTCTGAGCACCCACGTACACAGATGCCTAATTATTTTTCCACCAAAATAATAGAACAGGTATTTATTAACACTTTTGTATGCTAGGTCTGGACTTTTCAAGAGCAGATTTTGCCAAACTTAGTGAAAGTGACTTTAGCACTTAGTCAACCTCGAGGAATCACTTCCTAACCCCTAAGACTAGTTAACCTTTGTCATTTAGAAAGTCTATGTATTGTTTTTATTTAACTTGCTAGAATTTTGCAAAAGTCATAATTTTGCAAATTATGAATGATTTTATTTTGCGCCCTTGGTGTCACCAAGGAGGTCACTTGCGTTCACTGAAGTATGAGCATTAGTTGTGTCAAGACGCCTCATAAGTCAGTAGTTTCCAAAAAATTGGAAGCATTTTATAAGTATTATTCCTCAGGTTAATGCATTTTGCTTTCTGTGTTGCCTGTAACTTACATTCAACTCTTTTCATCTAATGGAGTGGGGAGTAACCATTTTAATAGGAACATGGCTTGACCGGGAAGCATGCTCAGATGCTCAAATTACTTAGGAGGCCTCTTGCTTTCTACTGAGTCACAGTCGATTTTGTGTCTTTGGCTGCTGTCCAGGTCTCCTCAGTGAAGTGCTCCTTGATACACCTGGCCAGGTTGCAAGCCACCAGGAAGTGCAGCTTCTGTTTGATATCGTTCATGCCTTCTGCCCGAGTACAAACATGTCTTTGTACAGTTGGTTTATGTAAATAGGTGCAGAATTGCTCTATCTGTTACATTGGATTTTAAGTTTCTTTAGTTGCTTTAAATCTGGAACAATCCCAGATTTTGATTCCTCACTATAGACTTGAAGAAATGAGTTTCTTTGTCCTGTAGATACAACATGGCACTTGATGTTAGTGTTTTAAGTTATCATGTATTTCTCCAAAATAATCAGTTGGTGGTGTTAACCTGTTGGAGAGATACAATTTTAAAATGACTCTTGCCCAAAGTGTCTATGTGGTTGAAATTTTGAGGCCTGGGCTCTGATAGATTTGGTGGTGACCAGAGGAGAAAGGAAAAGGGGGGTGGAAAGAAGGGTAAGAGGGACCGATTTGGCCAGGTGAATGGCACTAGAGCCGGGTGCAGGTCGGTTGTGGTATATACAGCCATCCAGTGTGAAACTAGGCTCCAGAAACCTAAATCATGCGGTGAATCTTTTTTTTTTTTTAAAGATTTATTTATTCATACGTACCAGAGGGTGAAAGAACTCACTTGAGACAGAGCAGGGAACACAGGTGGACCCACTGAAATGATATGCTGGGGGGGGGGGGGGAGACAGGAGAGATCTGCTGCACCATATGGGTCACCTCCCTGACGCGAGGGGGTGGGGATTGTACTTGCACACACCCGAGGACAGCTTAATCAAGAAAAGATTTTTTAGGGAGCCCCAAAAGAAAAACACCTCTATCCTGACAAGATTGTTCTGTCTGGACGACCTCACCTATCAAGGGTGGGTTCATCCAAGTCAGCAAATGTTCACTTGCTGGGAACACGCTGTCCAGCCACTGGGGATGTTCCCAAATCTGCGTTTTCAGTGCTCAGCGAGGTGGAGCTGGAATAAAAGCAGATGCTTAATAGATAATGAATTTAATTGCACGGAGATATTGATCTCATAAGATTTGGGGGTTTTGTCTGTTCTCAGGAAGAAATCGTTCCTGTTTTCCGCGCTGTATGCTGCCTTTATCTTCGGTGGTCGTCACCTGATGAACAAGCGGGCCAAGTTTGAGCTGAGGAAGCCGCTCGTGCTCTGGTCTCTGACCCTAGCTGTCTTCAGGTGAGTTTTTCTTTCTTTCTTTTTTTCTGTTTTCCCATTCAAAACCTTCCATTCTGTTGGACTTGGCAAAGAGAAGCAACGGCTGAGCTTTTCATATCACATCTCATACTGTTTATTATGGAATGAATTCAGGACTTAACTAAAGCTCTGCCAGGAGAGAAGGCTCATTGCAACCAGATTGACTAAGTTACAGATGATTTTGTATTTTGAGGCCTCTGTGGCCATTACCTTTCTTGTCCAAATTGTACTTGCTATATGCTGCAAATTGCAGTGCACTGCCCAGCCCAGCTATGGCTCAGGACTAGATGCAGTGTGTTGATTATATTTACTTCTGCTGGACAGAGGGAGGGCTAGATGGATACCCCACCAGTAGCGGTGGAAGTAGCCAGAGTAGGGCTCAGGTGGGATGGGCCCCTGTTGAACACTTCAAGACAGTGGCGTTCACCCCAGCCACCCATGTTTGTCAGTGCTGGGCTGAAGCCCGCCACTTCGCACTTTGCATCAGGTAAAACTCATCTGCGAGACCCAGAGGCCCATTCCAGCCAGCTTGCAAACACTCCTGGGAGCTAGGGGAGCATTTCCAGTTCCATGCTATTTATTCCTCTAGGAGTCACCACATTAATTAGCACACATCTGGTGTCCAAACAAGATTTGAATGGAATTTACCTTCAGCAGTAAGAAAGGCACCTGTTCGGCCTGTGTTTGGCTTGTCCAAATTAGCAAACTTCTGTACACCTAAGCTGGCGTGGTGGTAGATGTAGATATTACATAAAGCCAAACATTGTTCACTCACTGTTTTCACCTTTTCGTAATACAGAGGAACTGTTCTGCCACTGAGCAGAAGAAGAGGCCATTATTAAAGGTCTCCATAGTCACTTCAGGCTCATTAAATGGTCAGGCAGAAGAGCGTTTTCAGGAATTCTGATGCGCGTTTCCATTGCTGGCTCCTGCCTCCAGAACACTCCTGTGTTTGCTACCCCCAGCACTCTCTTCATGCTGGGGCATTTCACAAGGTGTGGCTCAGTCTGTCATTGGAGGCCCAGTACTTTCCAATGTCTAACAGGCCTGCCTTCCTCATGCAAAACAGTGTTTTCTTTTTTACTTACCTTACATTTGAGGTTCACAGACTATGCCTTACCTAAGGTATTTTGATACTTGAGGGGGAAAAAATGATCTTTAGCCTAGTAATATCTTTTAACATTTCACAGATTTCCCCCCTCCATTCAAGTATTTTCTGTGTTTATCTGTCTGATTTTCTAGAGAAATACCTTTACATGAATAAACTGAAAAGCAGGTACAGGAACCTCCCCCATGTACCTGTTACTTAAATAATTATCGGCACTGATATTATTCTTGTTTAACTCATAGTCCTCTTTGCTCTTCTGCCCCCCATATAGAAATATACAAGCCACATGAAATAATAGCATTTCTAAGACATGAGTACTCTTTCTTACAATTCATTTTTAGGGATGCAGATGAAAATAAGATCCAATGGCTGATTTCTTTTGGAGGTTTCTCCCTTCCCCCTAAGGTCCTCCCCTTTCCCATCCTTTGAAGAAATCAGATCATTTGCCCCTTGTGCTTCTGCCAAATTGGATTTTGCTGCCTGTGATGCTTCTGTCCTACACATTCCTTATTAGCTAGCAGTTATATCTAGAAGTTTCATTATATTCAAGTTTAGCAAGAATTTTTTTTATTTATATATTTAATCAGACTTTTTATAAGAAGAAACCTGCCTTCAACAACTATTCAGTAATCCTGAAGTCTCTATAGTTATGATAGCCAAGGTAGGATAAATGCTTGATGCTATGATTAAAAAAGAAAATGATTTTACTGTCCAGTATGAGAATGATAGTTTATTTTTGTCAAATATCATTATGAATTAAAGATTTTTACTTTTTTTTTTTTTTTTTAAAGATTTATTTTTTTATTCATACAGAACTGGGGTACAGGCCAGAGGCTCAGGGGCGGTGAGAGGCTTCACCAGAGACAGAGTGGGGAGCAGAACAGGCAGATCGACGAAGTACACTGCTGAGGGGAGCAGCGGGCGGTCAGGAGAGGTCTGGCTCGCCATGTGGTCTCCTCCAGGGCAGGCGGCAGGCGGGAATCGAACTCATACGGAAGTGGCTTCAGATTCTCAGTGCTGTGCTTTAACCCGCTGCGCCACCAGGGAGGGCCAGATTTTTACTTTTTAATGCATCAATGATTTTGAGATAATGTCAGTGTTACATTGTAGTTCATAGTTATGATTAAGTCATTTTCACATGGACAGAGTAAGGCTTATAGGTTTTCTTCTTCTTTTTTTTTTTTCATGGTGAGGGAGTGTGGGGCTTAGCAGGGAGGGTGATAAGATGGCCCAGTCAGGCAAATAATTCTTGTCTAGAACCAGAATCCACCACTTTTCCAAGGAGACCAAGTTCCTTTGTGGGAGGGGAGGTAGATTTAGAAACTACTAGCTGTGTATTTTTAGGGTTTCTTGTTGCTAAATTATTTCTAGGTCTTTCAGTACTCAGAAAGGAAAATATTATTTATTTTTTCAAAATGTATCCAGTTAGTGCTAATTCCCACTCATGTACAACCAGGGAGTTTACACTTTCCTCCCATGTCAAAATCCAAGTTCCCAACATCACCCACTGATCACTATTGCATTTACCTTATCTGATAAGGTATGTGCAATCCTTGCTGACAATACTGTAGCTTTTTTAAAACGTTAAGTTCTTGTTTCCTTTTCCATTTCCTTAATGCTGTTAGGTTCTTTGCTTCCTTCCCAACATGTCTAGCCAGGTCAGCATAGGGTCTTCCAAAAAGTGTTCTTAATATTCCAACCGGGAATTTGGGGAATTTCTGGTTAGATAATGGAATCTTATGTCTGAACATGGTTCCATGTGAAGAAAAGAATATTGAATTTCTTCTATGCTTCAAAAGTTCTGGTTGGCAAGAGATTGAATGAGAAAAACAAAGTTCAGAATGCTACTTTTTACATAACAGCTGTGCAAATTTTACTCCTAAGACATACCACACACTCATCTATACATGTAAGTGTTTGTAAAAGCTAAAAAGATAACAGGAGAACTGTACTCAATTCTTAACAGCTATGGAAAGACAGAAGAGATAGTCTCTCACTAAATCACAACTATTTACTGGAAAATGAAATCCAAAATACTGGTACTGTTAGAGCTTGGTTTCTAGTGGGCCAGAATTTAGCAATAAACGGAATTTAAATTTTTCTGTGTTGAGTTATCTTCTTATTCAAACAAGGGAAGCAAATTTGATAATACTCAGAACTCCCTTCTGGATTTTTGGGGTGTCTATTCTTTGTGTGTCTGTTATTTTCTGCAATTAAATAAAACACACACAGAGTCTTATAAGCAGTTTCAGAGACTCTGAAGTGGTGGTTGTTCTTTTTACTGCGGCTGTGAAGTATCTTTTAAATGAAGTTGAGATAAAGCATCGAACATAAGCTCTTCTCATGAACAGATGTTTTGATGAATAGTAAGAATTACCTTGTTTTGATTGTATAAGATGCCTACATTTTTACAAGCATATGTTAAGGAATTTTGAATGGCTCTCTTCCCTTACTAGCACTAACAAAACTTAAATTCATCTGTAAAATCGTCTAAAATGGAAGCATGGGAGACCCTTACTGAGAAGGCACCCTTGTATTTATGAGAGGGGTCTGCATTTCCTTCTTACCATCCAGCTCTCCCTCTTTACCTCTCTGGAGTAAGGAGAGCAAGAGGAAAAAAACGAACTTTTCTCTTGTTAGAGGAATTACAAATGGCAGGAGGGAAAGAACAGCAAGGTTTCTCTTTTGGAAAAATCAGTAGGAAAAGAAAGACTATACTTTTCTACTTATAAATTGTATCTTTTCACCAGCTCTTCACACTGGTCTATTAGCATTTTATGGTAGCCAGAGGCCCGATTATAACTATTTTCCAAATGCCTAACATTCTTGACCTGTGAGCCAAGATAACCAAAATGGAAATTAAGCAGATATTTGGAATATTTACCAATAGAAATTCCTGCTTGTATTGAACTATTTCAGAAAGTGGTGGGGGGTTGTGTGTAGTTTGGGGGAGAATATCCTGTGGAATATATGTCTTCCCCTGTGGTTGCTAGCTGTCTTTCTAGGCCATTTTCAGTGTACTTTATTAAAAACTGCCCATTTGGATGGAGTAGATAGAATATGACCAGCTGAGTTTCTCTCAGGCCTGCAAAGGATTCATCCCTTGTGAGAATGATTTCTCTGGAGTTTTGTCAATCATTTCTCCCATTACCCACAGCCCTTCTTTCTGCTCTTCTTTCTGCTCTCATTACCTACAGCCCTTCTTTCTGCTCTTCTTTCTGCTCTCATTACCTACAGCCCTTCTTTCTGCTCTTCTTTCTGCTCCAAATAATCCACTCTTGGTGTCGCTCCATCTCAATGAATGTCACTGGGATGATGAGTTCTAATCTATACTGCTTGGAGACCAGCACTTCCTCCTTTGAGGAGATTATTTCTTGATTGTTGGCCCTAGGTATTTCTTGAGGGTAAACACTGAGGAAAATTTTGATAATATGAATAGTACATCCTTCAGAAGGTATGTCCCTTCTGGTAGTAGAGCTCTGAACTCTTCAGGTTTTCTGGGGTCGGTTCTTCTCAGACCCTGCTGAGTCATTTAGATCTGTTGCCATGATCTCAGTCTTCCCAATGTATTATTTTAAATAACTTTAAGTCCTTCCACACTGTTCCAGCAGCCTCTCCAGGTACCTGCCTGGCAGCTGCTCTCTCCACTGGCAGCCTCAGGAACTGAGTCTCTGACCCAGAATTGGTCAAGCAGGGTGTCTAGAGACTGCACATTAGCAGAAGAGGGTTACTTTGTGCTGCATATTTATAGATGCCAGTATCACACCTGCTTCAAATTTGCTTACTCCTGTTTCCTGGTGATTCACTCTGGCCTTGATTATTTTATGCTATATTTGCACAAAGCCAGATGTCACACACTTTGCAGTTAGACTTT